GTAGTATAGTATAATAAAATAAATAAGTAGTTATATAGAAAAACAAGAAGTAGTGTGTGTGTGTGTGTGTGTGTGTGTGTGTGTGTGTGTGTGTGTGTGTGTGTGTGTGTGTGTGTGTGTGTCTTTTAAAGTATTCACAAAGTTTTAATATTACTGAAGGAAATTTGAATCAGTAAAGGTAATAGATGAAATTTCTTAAATTCTGGAGAAAAGAATTAGCACAATTTATTTATTTTTTTTAATATGCAGACGAATGCTAGAGTATTGCAAATTTTGCTAAAATTTTAATGACTGTGAATACCATATTCATGTGTCCTTTTTTCCAATTGGAACTCCTGAATATTTATTTGTGTTCTAAGTGTAACCTAATCTATAGCAAATTTACAGTATGGAATCATCCTACTATGGTCATTACAAAGTTATTAAGCCTAAGTTTACTTCATCCTTGAGTTAACTAATTGTGACAGTTAGGGTTTCCTTATTCATGATTATGGAATCCCTTCAGTTAAACAGACAGACAGTTTAGAAAAACTATCCAAATACTTTCAGTCTGTTCATTATTAATGAAACTCCAATTTCATCTTGAGTATAAATACCGACAGGATCTAGCAATACTCAACTTTTTCAAAAATACCTAATTTGGAAGAAAAAAGAAAAAGTGTATTGATATTTGAAGGCTGTTATAGAAACTTACTTGTGTTTTTGAATGTCTCTGATTCCACCTTTTTGATAGCCTAACCTCTCAGCTGGGTTATCTCTGTAAATATATTATAGACTTTATGAAATATTTGTCTTCTAATGAAGAGTCATTTTAACACTTAAAACCTCTGGAAAACTTAACTATGTAACAGTAAGTGACCATCAAATAACATGAACAACTGTATGGGAGCATCTCAACACATCTCATATTGCCTCAAATGAATAATATTTCTCCTAAGCCTTGTAGCCATCCCTTTAAGACACTTTTTATTTTAACATTAAAATAATCCAAAACAATATTAATGATACAATATTCTTCTACTCATTACTTAGTTATATGCTAAGATAAGAAATTAGTTCAATCCACTCCTTTATTTTAATAATAAATGTTTTAACTAAAATCTTCGTTTTAACAATTCCATCATGACTGTCTTACTAGAGAAAGCTAAAGTATGTTCCAAGGGAAAGTCATTAACAAAGAACAAAACTGTTTAGATATATTTTTTCACAAATTTAAGCTTTCTCAATATAATCTCTACCTCTACAAATTGCATATTTATAAGAATATTGCAAAAACTGAAACAATAACGTTCAAATAAAATTATGTTGGTAGTCTTTTCATATCAGTTATACTTCAATAAAATAAAACTTAAAAATAATGTAATGTTCAAAAATTGTTCTTAACAATAATAATAGAAATTAATATAGGTGAGAAGGTTTCTGGATTAAAAGTTGTGTTTATATTTAAAATGCTAAGAAAAAATCAGATTACATTATAGGAACACAGAAAGCATAGTTTAACATAAAATAACCAAATTAATCTCTTCTGAACATTGTATTAATTCACACAACTGGATTGTTTTAAACTATATATTTATAGGTAATTTCATATTTTTAGAAAGTACATCTAAAAAATTCTTTCTTGTTTTCATAATTCACAATTTTATTAACACATGCAGTATGAAATGTGAGAAAAATGCCCACATATGGATTAAACAAAACCATATGTATTAATTTTTTGACTGATAAATTACAAAGGATTTAAACATATAGTAAAAAAAACATTTCATATGACCCATTCTCTACATAAACACCAAATCTTATTATGAAAGTAAGTGAATTTCATGGGTCTACCATTTTAAATTTATTTTGGAAAACTTCTAAATATATAAATACTCAAGAATTAGGTTCACTATAAACATGGTCAGGTAAATATTTCTATTTTCTTCATACTAAATTGCATAAGTCAGTCAAGTGGCATATGCTTTGAACATACCCAGTGACATAAAGCGTAAAGATGTAAAATAGAACAACTGTATATAACATGACCACATGAAATTACTTGTATTTATAATTTTTCAAAGATTTAAGGTAACTGATTAACAGCATTCAAAAGTTTAGTATTAGCACAAAAATTGCACCAAAATTATTTAAATATTATAACCTGCAAAGCTTTTTGATCAGAGCCAAAGCATTCCTGGATATTGTGCGAGGAAAGTCAATTGCATCAATTCCCTTCAAGATTACATTGTAAGTTTTCATAGGATCTGCACAGTTAAAAGGAGGCCTGGAAAAAAAAAGTACAACCTACTATATACATCTCTGAAAATACTAGAGTTGCAAGCACAAAAAGTGGGCATTTGATTTTTCTTTACTGTGCATGAAATTATTATAATTAACCTTAAAACTCTGCTTATACTGTACTTGGACACATCTGCCAGTGAGGATAACTTATCAATTTCTACTCTAATGGGTAAATCATACTGTAATGCATTTCAGATTCCATACTAAACGTCTTCACTGTATTATGTAAAATTGTTTTTAAAAAGTGAAAACATTAAAAAAAGGCTAACTTAAATAGTTATAGAACTAACAGGAAAAACTAGCTCTATTTCATATATATATAAAATTAAGATATACAAGTACAGTAAGTTGCTCCTTTTGATGAGCAATGGAGAAGTCTATGTAGTGAGTAATGCCATACATTTTATGGTAACTTACAATTTTGTTTAGAGACATTTGATTCTCCTCTGATTTAGTGGAACAATTAAACATTTAGCCAAAGTTTCACCACCCACACCCACCCACCCACCCACACACACACACACACACACGCATACATATATAAACTTTTTTTCTGTTAGTCAAGCAGGCTTTTTAATGTTGTACTTTTTCTTTTATGCTCTGAAAAGTCTAAATTTTCTTAGACAGTTATGTTGTTAATTATATATACATCTGATATCATAAAACCTTGTTCATCACTGGGCAGCAGTTAAATAATTAAGTTTACCTAACAATACCTGAAGCAAGTACTTTGTCAGTATGTATTCCAAACAATGAATAGCCATAGTAATTAGTAATATTCATGTTCCCCTCTGTGAGTATAAATAAATCAATTAGTGGTCAATTATAGTTCAATTAATTATGTGTATATATTTAATAGTGAATTTAAATTTCTGTGTATTAGTAAAAAAAATAAATCACAACACTTATAGCTTTTTGAATCATATTATTAAAACTGTGTTTCTACATAAACAAATTAGTTTTAAAATCAATAAACATTTTATAGACAAACACTGGTAATCTGTATTCATCTGGCACTTACATGCCAGTCAATAATTCAAACATCAGGACACCCAATGACCAATAGTCTGCTGAAATATCATGTCCCCGGTTAAGTATGACCTCAGGGGCTACATATTCAGGGGTTCCACAAAAAGTCCATGTTTTATGGCCTATTTGTAGTTTCTTGGCAAAGCCAAAGTCCACCTATATCAGAAGAGAGTACAAGTATTGTAGGTGATCACTGATAACCAAACAACATTAGAAAGAGGACAATAAATTAATGTGACATTATGAACATCAGAATGACATATATACCTGAATATTAAAAACATACATGCAGTTATCAATGTGAATTAAATATCCACATCATAGGGAAAAATTGTTAAAAAATGGATCCAAGGTGATTTCAAAATATTTGACAAAATAAAATTTACAAAACACATGCTTTGTCTAAGTTACAAGTTCATTCAATACAAACTTATAAAGTCGAAGAAGAAGTTTGCTTGAGTCCTACCATTCCTCACCTGTAGAATACAGCCAACAGAGGCAGATGGATGCTTTGGCAAATGCAGTAACCATGATACAAAAGTATTGAGCCATTCTACAGGAAGTATAGGTTTTGCATCATGGATAAAGACATGCATTTAAGAAATCAAGCAAGTATAGTTAAGGTGGATCTAAGGTTACTAAAACATCTATGATATAGTCTATCAATAAAGAAAGAGTGATCTCAATTTATCATACATCTGCTGTTTTGAATAAATAAAATCATCAGATAAGTTACTCATTACAGGAATTTATCAGACAAACTATTTGGTCCAGAATTCATCAGCCACACTATTTGGTCCAGGAATGTATGACACAAGCTACTGAATACATGAATTCATCAACCACACTATTTGGTCCAGGAATGCATGACACAAGCTACTGAGTATACGAATTCATCAACCACACTAATACTCAGTAGCTTGTGTCATACATTCCTGGACCAAAGTGGTTGATGAATTCATTAGTATACTCAGTAGCTTGTGTCATACATTCCTGGACCAAAACGAATTCAAACAAACTATTTGATCCAGGAACGTATGACACAAGCTACTGAGTATATGAATTCAAACAAACTATTTGATCCAGGAACGTATGACACAAGCTACTGAGTATATGAATTCAAACAAACTATTTGGTCCAGGAATGTATGACACAAGCTACTGAATACATGAATTCATCAGGTAAAATATCTGACAGAGAATTTGTTGGACAAGTCATCTAATATAGGAATGCATGAAACAAACTACTGGCCACAGGAACTTATCAGGCAAATTACATGATGCAGGCATCCAACAGGTAAACTATTCAACATAAGGAGTCATAATACAAATTACTGAACATATGGATACATCAGATAAACTGTTCAATATATGAACTCATTGAGGCATACTATTTCATATAAGCATCAACCAGGCAAATTGCTTGATCCAGGTATGTATCATGAAAAACTAGAAAAAATTGTCAGGAAAAGTATTTAATACGTGAGTACATCAAGCAAACAATTTTGTACAGGAAAAGAATCAAGTTAACTATCTGCAAACAAAAACTAATGACCTAACTACTAATAATCAAGTTAGTTGAAACATAAAATCATTAAGCTGAATATTTAAATTTAAAGAATAATTGAACTATATATTGGATAAAGAAATTCATCAATAAGCCACCAAGAAACCATCAGATTGATTTATTGAAATGGGAATAAATCAAGCTATCATCAGGGTACAGGAAAACATCAACCTAGCAATTAGATACAAAAAAAAATTCATTAAACAAATTCTAAGAGAAGAAATCATCACACTGGCCAATTGAAATGGAAATAAACAAAATCCAGTTACTGAGTAGAAGTTCAGCTATTTTACAAAGAGAAGCAACATTGTTCCTACTTGCAACAATACCCACCAGGTTATTATTATTTTATTTTTTTTTTTGTATGAGAAATGTTGTAGAAGGTGCATCCATAAGTAGTGTACCAAACAAGGCTAATGGAAGGTAATTTATTTAATGTGAAGAATTATAAAGCTATATTTCTTACTGAATTTTATCAGAATAAACATATAATGATGGTGTTTATTCATGGTAGAGAGTACCACAGTTCATGAAACTTTTAGGGCAAAACTGACCCAATAAACACAAAAATTTTAATAAAAAACAGTGAATTCCTTCAAACATTTTTTATTATTGGATCCTGAGTTTCTTGCTACAAATGAAAGAACAGTTTAATACATGTCGATGTCAATGTATTTGAAAGTAGCATGGTTTCATAAGGATGTTAAATAAACACCAAATCTGCTTCTAGACATGTAAAATTTTGAATAATTCTCACCAATTTCACATAGCCCTTTATATCCAGTAGCATATTTTCTGGTTTGAGGTCTCTGTATATTATATGTCGAGCATGAAGATAATCAAATGCTTCAACAACACATGCAGTGTAAAACCTAGTAGTGAGGTCATCAAAGTTTCCTCTGAAATAAACAGTTGTTTAAAATAAGCTTGACAGAAACAACTATATAAAAAAGGTAAGAAAAAAAAAACAAGAATATTTTAATGCAAGTTAACAGCATACTTAAGGCATAAAACAGCAGAATTGTTTGATGTTTACTTACTGGAGCAAATGGTTTGTATATATATATATATATATATATATATTAAAACTCATTACATTCTTGCCCAAAGACATAAGGATGAAAATTATAACAAAAACAAAACTACAAATCATTGCACTTTTAATAATTTATTAATTTGATTATTTATGGGATGTGTTTATAAAAAAAAATCAAGAATAAATTCTTAGAAACAAATTCAATCACCTTTATTTGCAGTTGAGAGTAAGTCAGTTAAAAGTTTTGTTCAAGTTAGACTAACCTCAAATGAAAATTTTGAAAATGTCAAAAATCCAATGTTGTCAATATTAACTTTGTGTATAGAAACAGAAGAGATCTAAAGGTTTTAAAAATGGGCTGATACTTTTCACAGTAGATGTCTGTGACTTGTTGGCGATAAATTCGAACAATAAACAGGCAGCACACAATCCACTTATTTTAAAATAATATATTCAAAACAAGTCAAACATATGTACAAAAATTCTTTACACCAAAGGATATCTCAGATGTACCTAAAACTCTAAATTATTCTCTTTTCTTATCAAAAGTCCACACAGGCTGATTCAATTACTTTAGAATCCACTTCATCAATTATTTTCTGTTTCTTAGTATACAATCTGCAATAAATTCACTTACATTACCCTGTGAGTTACCACAGTTGTATCCAAAAATTGAAATAATTGTCTCTTTTTCATCAAAGTCCACACAGATGGGTTCAATTACTTTAGTACACGAGACAAATTATTCTCCTTACCTCTATTAAACTCACTTTAAAATATCTCCCATTACAGTTATAAACTAACAATCACACAGTCTAACTTCATTTTCACTAACTTAACTTTTCTTCGCTCACTTGGTCGCCTATATGTATTATTGGCCAACTGAGGGCTAGAACTTTCTACAAACTACAAGATGCTATGATGTAACAATACTTGCTTAAGTGAGCAAGAAAAATGCAGAAGGTTCGAGTAATGCGACGTCAATTTACAGCAACTGAACTACACACACAAAGTACTACCATTACCAAGTTATGTAACAAAAGTTGTCATAAGTATCACCTTTAAAATAATTACTTTTAACACTCTTGTAATGAAAACTAAATAATCATTAAATATTAGATCAATAAATGCAATAAATAATAACTTTGACACTAAACAGTCTTATATATCCAACAAAAACTTTGAATCAGTTTTGATTAAAACTTCCTAAGCTTTCATTGGCCCATACATCAAGATGGTTTATAGTTTGTTTGAGAACTTTACAGCCCTGGTAATTTTGAACTGATGGATTAGAAGGAAGGGCAGCTAGTCATCAGCACCAACTGCTGACCTTCAGGCTACTCTTACCTGACCAAACAATGGAATTTGACTGTCACTCTTAAAATATTCTCTCAGCCCCAAAGTGAAGCTTGAGCTTGTTTAGTGACAAATTGGTTATGACGCATGAACCCAGGGATTCATAGTTCAAGCACACTAACCTCTAGATCATGCCTAACCCATGGTATACAGTCTTGTCAATATTGGTAACTTTACAGTCATTGCTTATGTGTCTTTAATGTTTTTCCAAAAAGCTCAATGTTTTTATTTAACTCTTTTTACTAAACAAGTTGGTTTGAAAAGATTTACCTTCTCTCACAATAATTTTCACCTTATTCATTAATAAAACAGTTGAAAATAACAAATTAATGTGCATATATCAGCAGATGGCACAGGACGTAGTAAAATATTTTCAAATATAAACAACGCAAAAAATTATATGACTTAATTTATGCTTATTAAATACAATAGAATTTATTCAACATTACAAGATTTCACGGACAGAGATAGCAACTTTAAATTTATTTCTTTATAAACACAGTTTCTCCTACCATATCTTAAGTATGAAATTCATTGAATTTTGTGGGAGTTCCCTATATAGTATATCATTACATTATTTATTAAGTTAAATTAGTTTTTTATAATAATTTTTCTTTGTCATATTGACCATTGTGTTACTTACTTTTCTAAGTATTATTATTGTTGAGGTTTCTCAAATCATATTGCATTTACTTTTTGGTTATTAATGAGGATTTAACTATTTGCTACTTCATGTTGCTCACTCCATGTATTTTTTACAATGGTAAAAGTTAAAGTCAGATTAGTTGTGTTAGACATCCTTATAGCATTTATTTATTTACATGCTAGAGAAGTTTAGCAATGGTTAAAGCACAGGCTCTCATCCATTCAATTATGAATTTCCATCATAGATTCGTTAATGCTCAGGCAGGTAGCATTGCATCATCCCTAATTCTCAACTACTGACTACAGGGAGGAAACTAGTTATAGTTTCTACTCTATTGTTATTAATTGTTGTGTATGTTTCTATTTAGTTATTTTTACTTCTAACACCTGATACACTGTGTAAATAAGATATTAATACTACTACTTCCACAACTATTATAAGTTTGAGGAGTTTGGCACTGGCCTTTGCACAGGATCTTCTCTGTCAAATAATCTACTTACAGTTTTTCTAATAATAATAATGCTGAATTTAATTTATATTTGTAGCATCTGTCCTTAACACATACTTTCATGCTTGTTCCATTTCCATACTTCCATTCTTTTTCCTCAAGTATTCCAGAATTCTGACTATCTCTTTCTGTTCCTCATATCATGTTTAGTATTTCTTTTCTTTATATTTAACCTGGTTATATTGTAGCTAGAGTATATTCTTGCTATTTATTGTATGATTCATATATTCATTTAATTTGTTATTTATCATTTTGTTTATTCATACACATTAGTTTTTTGCTGTACTACCTGCACTTTCTTGCTACCCAACTCTATAGCTAAGCAGTAATGTGTCATAGTAATTTTATCTCAGATATCAGGATACTCTTAAAATTACACCATTCAGAGTAATTTAATAGACTTTCAATGGTTATAAGACATTATAAAGGAGGTTTGCATAAAGTTTTGCTTATACATAGTTACATAATGCTTAAATTGCTCAGAATATGAAGCAAATTAAACTAATATTGTTGCATTCTGTAAGTAATGTATATTCTACCCTTTCTTTAGCATTACTTTCATTAACAGTATTTGTTTGACAGTTTAATACGTCTGTGTTAATTATTTTAATTCATTATTATAGGGTTTTTTATTATAGAGATTATTTTGTATTGTTAGCATTGTATATAGATGTAGACTAACCTAAATCTCTTAAGCTATGCCAAGTCTCATAAGATATTATTGGGTTTACATCCAAAACTAATAGCTGAAAGTAAGGGTACCCCACTGATGAAAGAATGCATTCTAATCTTTATATAACTAAATACATAAGAATAGTATATTTAATTAACTATAATCATTTCTGGATTGATTATTAATTTTGATCTAAATAGGTAGCTTGCTTTGGTCTCAAATTAATATTAATTAGCATTTTGAGTTTATAGAAATAAAACAAAAAAACCCTTTAGAATTTATACATACAGTAAGAAAATCTTAAAATTATCATACAAAATTGCTAATACAAAAAAAAGTTTTATTAATACTTACTTATCCCTGAGAATTGTCCATAATTCTCCTCCAAGACATACCTCCATTAACATGTACAGGTATTTAGAGTCTTTAAAGGTACGATATAGCCTAAAAACAGTTAGATGCATAAATGGTAAAACCATGTAAAAACATCAAAAAAAGAAAAACTAATTTAATACAAATCTACAGCTTTATATACCTTTTTGATGTATTAACATATTTTAACTGTCACAAACTCTAACAAAAACTTTTCCTGATGCTTATAAAAATAAAAACATGCATATACACAGCATGCTCACAAGTAAATAGACACCACCTTTTCAGAAAAAATGAAATTTTTCAGTCATATTCACATTAATTGATATATTTATAATTTAATTAATATCTAGTAATCTTCCTTTCGCTTCGTGGAGTTCGTTGAGCCTTTGGAGCATCGTGAGAATCATCTCGTCAATTTTAGATTGTGGGATTTTCGCCCACTCTTGCTTCAAAAGTAGATTGCTCTTCGAAGTTGGTTTTTGTGGTTGTTTCTTGACTTGCCGGTCGAGTATGGCCCAGAGGTTTTTCGATGGGGTTCATGTCAAGAGATTGGCTCAGAGCACCGTGTCACACTGCTAGAAACACCCAAAAGTGGCAGGAAGAAAATGGTATCCAGAAGTTGCCCTGGCTATCTTCCCGGAACAACGTTGTGTTCTTGTCCACAAAACCCGAGGAATAAAGTGGCAAGAGTCGTTCCTCCAATATTTCGAAATATTTCGCAAAATTTATGTTGCCAACGCACTCCACTAAGCTCGATCTCCCACCAACCCAAACAGCTCCCCAAACCATCACGCTGAAACCACCATGCTTCACAGTTGGCTGCAATTGTTGAGCCGAAAATCTTGGTGAGGAATTCTCCAGACCCACATCCTTCCACTGTCCAAAAATTGAGCGAATCTTAATTCGTCTGAGAACAATACAGTCTTCCAAAAGTCCAGAGGCTTGGTCATCATATCACTTGCCCACTTCTTTCGTCTGACTATGTCGGCAGGTCTTAATAAGGACTTCCGTCTAGCTGCTCTGCAACGATAACCCAATCTGTGGAGAATCTGTTGAACAGATTTCGGGCTCATCCCACCAACTTTGGCCACTTCTGCAGTCGTTAATCTGGGATCCATTTCGATTCTCCTCTTGACAGCCCTTTTTGTCCTCTCCGATGGACCAGGGCAACCCAAACGCTGCTCAGTTGTTTCCTTGCAGTGTTTCCTGAACTGCACGATGATTCTGTTGACTGTCGAAAGCGGGATTCCCAAATTCTGTGAAATTTGTCGCTGACTTATTCCACCATCTGCTTGACCAACTATCCTTCCTCTAACAAAATCTGACAATTCTAGAGAACCTTGAGTTCTAGGCA